CCGAATTGCCTGCAATCGGCCGCCATTGTCCCCCACAGCCGTGACGAACATCGCCGAATTTGTCCAGCCGTATTGAAACGGAATTAAACCCTATAGTGCGTTATCCGCCGACCCCAGTGGTGCGCGCGGCATCTTTTGTGCGCGTGACACAAGATTCCACCCTGCAGAAATCGGCCCGGGAACTCCCCACCCTGCCTCCGCCGCGCTCCCACCTCGCTCCGACCGCACCTTACACCGCCAGCCTCCTGGAGCCTTTGGCACTGAATTCTTCGGGGCCACCCGCGCTGCAACAAAAAAACGCACCATGACCTTCCCTCCCTGCTCCCGCCACGCCCTCGCCTCGCCCCCGCCAAATCTCCACGCGAGCTCTGTTTTTGGGGCCTCCCACCGCGCCCCCGCCACGCCCCGGCATTCCCACCCCGCGCGAGCTCTGTTCTTGGGAACCCCGCGCGACATCTTCCGAGCCAAAACCGACCCGCGCCCCCCCAACGCGCTTCGACCACGCCCCGGCATCCCCACCACACGCGAACTCTGTTCTTGGGACCCCCCACACGACAATACGCCGACCAACACCGACCCGCGCCCCCCACCGCGCTTCCACCACGCCCCGGCATCCCCACCCCGCGCGAGCTCCGTTCTTTGGACCCCCCACGCGACAATTTCCGGGCCAAAACCGACCCACGCTCCCCACCGCGCCTCCGCCACGCCCCGGCATCCCCCCCCCTCCTTCATGGGGCCCCACACCTGACACTTTCTGGGCCCAAACCGACCCGCGCTCCCCACCGCGCCTCCACCGCGCCCCGGCATCCCGCCCCGCGCGAGCTCTGTTCTTGGGCCCCCCCACGCGAGCTCTGTTCCTGGGACCCCCCACGCGACAATTTCTGGCCCAAAACCAACCCGCGCCCCCCGCCGCGCCTCCACCACGCCTCGGCATCCCCACCCCGCGCGAACTTCGTTCTAGCTCCCCCGTCTGATACCCCGCCGCCGGAGAAGATTCCACCGGGAGCGCTGTTTTTGAACCCCCACACCCTGCAAACTTTGGCCCCGGTTCCACCCCGTGCTAGCCCCCCCGCGGGGGGGCTAGCACTCGTCGGGGGCGCTGTTCCCGGGCCCTCTCCGCCCTGCCATTTGAGCCCTGGCCCCGCCCCATTCTGGCCCCCCGTCTGACACCCCGCCGCCTGAGAAGCTCCCAGCGGGAGTCTTCTTCTTTGAGACCCGTCCCGCCCTGCAATTTCTGCCCCGGCCCCGCCCCGTTCTAGCCCCCTCGTCTGACACCCCGCCGCCTGAGAAGCCCACATCGGTAATGCTGTTTTTGACGAGCCCCCACTCTGCTATTCGGGCCCCAACCCCACCCCATTATAGCCCCCCCGTCTGACACCCCACCGCCGGAGAAGCTCCCATCGGGAGCGCTGTATTTGGGACTCCCCTCGCTGAACTTGCGGCCCCGGCCCCGACCCCTCCTAGCCCGCCCGCGCGACGGCCCGCCGCCTGAGAAGCCCCCATCGGGAATGCTGTTTTTGACCCCCCCCTGCAATTTCGGCACTGGCCCCGCCCCGTTCTAGCCCTCCCGTCTGACGCCCGACCGCCTGAGAAGTCGCTTCGGGGGGGCTGTCTTTTTTGCCCCCCCCCCCACCCGCCCAGCAATTTGGGCCCCGGCTCCACCCCGTGCTGGCCCCCTGAGCTCCCACTGTGGGCACTGCGTTTGGGGCCCACCACCCTGCAAATTCGGCCCCGGCTCCGCCCCGTTCTAGCCCCTCCCCGTCTGGCGCCTCGCCGCCTGGGAAACTCGCATCGGGGGTAATGTTTGTGGGGGCCACCACCCTGCAAGTTTGGCCCCGGCCCCGCCCCGTTCCATCCCCCTCGTCTGGCACCCCGCCGCCTGAGAAGCCCCCATCGGGAGTGCTCTTTCTTGGGTCCTCCACCCTGCAATTTTGGCTGCGGCTCGACGCCGTTCTAGCCGCCCCGCCCGCCGCCCCGCCGCCTGAGAAGATCCCATCTGGGGCGCGGCTTCTCATCTCCGTCGCCCATCTCTGCTCGCGCGGCGCAGCATCAACGATCCAAACTCGCGAAACCCCGCGGGCAGCGCTCTTGATATGCAACAGTGCTCCGCCACGGAGCGCGGGCCTGAAAAGTAGCTGGGTGCCAGACTTGCGACGCGCGTGGGCCGCGAACTTTTTTTTTTTTTTTTTTGGGGGGGGGGGTAGGGGCTGCAAGGTGGGGGAGAAAGGACTACGGGGAGAGCAAGCCCCTTCAACTCAGATGAATCCCGTGACAACATACCTATCATATCCGTCTCAGTTGTTTTTTCAACGCATCTCTGTGCACGCGGCGCAGCATCGACGATCCAAACTCGCGAAGCCCCGCGCGCAGCGCACTTGATATACAACAGTGCTCCCGAATTCGCAAGTATAAAGACGTAGCGCAGGAAGGGCGGGTCGGGGGAAAAAATGGGGAACACGAGACATCAGGAGCACGAGCGAACAAGGCCAGGTCGCAGACGGAGACAATCTCGTGGCTTTTCAAGCTCCTTAGTGAAGCCAATATCAACGAACAAGGTCGCCATCTTCGTGGCCATGCGTCTGGGATGCGCGGGCGCCCGTCGAGTCCACTTGACCCCCGACGGGTCTGCGCCGGAGAGGTTGCTTACAGAAGCTGCGTGGCGCTGGTGGGCGGCTCTGCCGCGCACGAGCGATCGACGAGATGTTGGAGATGCCGAAACTCATAACCGAGGTTACCGTGCGCCACCGAGCACCGTATCCACACATATGAAAGGTATTGACACCGACCGCTGGCTTGGCAAGAAGTTGTCTTATTTCTGGAACTTGCTAAATGAGACTGGTCTGCAGGTTTTCTAACATGAACGGTGCGCCGAACTGCATTCACAGTTTAGATGGAAGGACAATTTGATGGACGAGATTACTTTTTCGAGTTTAAGACGATCACGTTCACAACAGTTGGGCACGCCGTATACATGCTCTCGGGTACGAACGGCAGGCCGTCTGGCAATGCTAAACGTCGTGCAGGGAGGCGCCAGGAGTACACCGAAACACTGAGGGCTTTCGATGAGAAGCCGAATCCTCCTCTGGACAGCTTTTCGAAACAGACCCCCCCCAGGCCCTTGAAGTGCGTCAAAACTGATACACACGCAGCCCTGGCGGCAAACAGTCTTGGTGAACTCGCCCTGACCACTGAAAACTTCAATGCAAAAGCGCCCATCTTCTGTCGGGCGCTCTGGCGCGGTGGAGCTGGCCTACGCGCCTCTCGAGCTCGGCCAACAGCGACTTCTCGCTGGCGAAGCAAAACCTGCGCACGCCGGCCCCGAGGCTGTTGAAGACCTCCTGGACCAGCGCCCGCTTCTCGCATCGCCTGACACTGGCGGTGGGCCGCCGTCGCCCCCTCTTCTGCACCTCTGACAGGCTCCCCCTGTTCTCTAGGCGGTCGAGGGACGTCTCGGCGCGTCGCCCCACGTAGAGCACGGGGCTCCACTGCTGCAGCCCCAGTTCGAGGCAAACGTCGAGGAACTTCTCGCGCATCCTGATGAGGTCGAAGTTCCAGGGGGGGACCTGCGTGGGCCGCGTCTCGGAGTAGTCCACCAACAGCTGGGCGAGCCACTTGCCTGTTTATCAGCAGGCTCTCGCCCGCGGCCCCTGTCTTGCTCGGGGCCCCGTCCTCCGCAGGATGAAGTAGGACGGCCAGGCTGGTCATGTGCTCCTGAGTCGTCGGCTTCAGCAGCTGGCCCGGGCGCTGGGACAGGCGCCCTCCGGGGCGAAGGTAGGCGTCCACCATCAGCAACCAGCGCAAGGCGTAATCCACCCCATGCTTTCGCATCAGGCCCGTCGCGATCTCCGCCGCCACGCGCCATGGGAGAGGCCTCCGCGCGCGGCTTCGCACCGACCGTCGCCATCCGCGAAGTGCTCGCGCAGTCCAAGGGAGCACTCCCCGATTGCCGTGCGCGGGCACGCAGTGCTGCACCGCCGCCAGCAGCTTCTCGCCAGAGCCCGCAGCCTTCCCCTCCAGAAACGTCTGATCCATGTCTTCGCATCCAGCACGGGCGGCGCGACATCCTAGTCCTTCAGGCCCTCCGCGAGCATGAACTTGTCGATGTAGTCCGCGCGTTGGGCTCGCGTCCGGGGCTGCAGCGAAGCTTGCCCCAGGATCCCGCGCTGCTGGCTGGTGTCCCGAAACTCGCCATACTTCATCAGACGGTAGGCCGCCTTTGCCAGGTGCTCGTCCTCGATCTCGTTCGGGCTGAGGTTGGCGGCCCGCTCGAGCCGCCCCAGCATGGAGCGCCCCCTGCCAGCGCCCGGCGCAACAGCCAGGATCGCCGCGGACACCTTCAGGTCCTCGGCTGGCACAGTCTGCCTTGCTCCGGTCGTCGGCTGCGCTCGAGGGACCAGAAGGGGCCTCTCCCGACGCGCTATCACACTCTGGCTCCCTCGTCTCAGATGACTCCGAGTCGCAATCTCTTCCTGGGTCTGAGATCTCGCGCGGTGCCGATCGCCCAAAGCTGCCCGAGTCGAGCGTCGCCGCGCCTCCTGGACGGCTCATCCGCCGGGTTGACCTCCGACGGCAACCACCGGCCAAGAAACCTTGAGCCAGTGGCAAGCATCCAGGAGGCCGCTCGGCGACGCAACATCTGGAGAGTAGGGTTGCGACATCGCCCCTCTGACAGAGATAGCATCAGCCCCAAATTGTCCCCGAGAACAAAATGTTTCTTGTGCCACCCGGACTGACCACCCACGAGTCGCTTACGAATGGTGCCAAGAAGCCCCGCATCTCCGAAAGGTGGATAGCCTCTGGATTGAAGATGGGCTGGTAATTAGTGGTCAGACCCTCTACGAACCTGTGGGGCACCCCGGGGGGCACAGGGTTCCGACCTGGGTCGTTATCATTCGGGTCCTCGTGCTTTTGCTTTGCGATGTCCAAGAAAACCCGTTGCCGAGGCCGGTAGACAAGCCAAGGGGGTCTTCAACGCGGTCTCCCCTTTGCGTCGCCAGCGCTCGTGCCAGACACCGATCTGCCGAATTTGCTCTGCATTGGCGGAGCTCTCCGCCGTCGCGTGCCCGCCCTCGCAGGCGTCGAAAGCGGTCGCCCTCGAATCCCGAGCAGACCCCAAGTGCCTCCGAACAGAAATCAACAGACCTTGCGCCATCTTCAACTCGCGCTCAACACTGGACAACAAGGACCGGGGCTCCGTAAACTCGGCCGACACGAAACCGTGACATGCCCTCAGGGAGCACAAGAGCTCGCGCCTCAGGAGGGCGATGAACGTGAAATGTCCCAGGAGGCGTTCCATCCGCCCACTGGCGATCCTCGCCTTGTTTTTCAGCAGTACCTGGATGGCAAACCACGACTTCCAATGGCGAGTCGGAGACAGGTGCGCCGCGTGGTGCTTGCCATCTTGGACCCTTTCAGTCTGTCTGAGACTCAGCCTAGATAAGTTTCGCTTGAGGCTTGAGACGCCCTCAACATGCTTAGACGGCTGGCTAGAAAACGCCGCATCTTTGTAGAGAGTGGGAACTCCTTCAAGCTCGCGAAAAACGCGCAACTCATCTTGATGCCGCGCCCAGCGCGAGCAAGGCCCTGCGTTTAAAAGTCCCGAGACATCCGGGGGGGCCGTGGTCAAGACATCCACCGGCTTGTCCCCGCAAGCGGGCCGACTCAGGGCTTCCCGGGCGTGGGGCCGAACCGTGCTGCTGTTGGGCTCCGGCGAGTAGCCTGGCGGTTCACATCCCAGAAGCTCTCGCAAGGCTTCCTGGGGAACTAATCCAGGAGGGACAGGGGCGCGGTCCCGATGCAAATCAAAAAGATCCTTAAAAAGACAAGGTTGGAATGCCCCTGCGGTCCAGACACCGACCCCTGAGGATCTTCATACCCAGCAAGCAAGTTGAGTGCGCTCATTGACTGACGAGACATGCCGTGACACGCGATGCGCCTGCCCAGCCGACGGCAGGCGCCTTGCGAGAAAGAACCTTCACGTCGCGGCAGCGGCGGGGGCGCAGCCAGCGGGGGCAAGCCGCCACCCGCCTCGGGCGCCGCCTCGCGCCGATGAAGAGAGCCTACGTGAGCAGCGCGTGGGGCCAGGCGCCCCTCCGTGCTGCGCATCGCCTCGAGGCATCATTCTTGCCGCCGCCCTTCGCTTTGAGGGCAGCGGCATCCTCTCTCGCCCTGCGACGCTGCTTCAGCACTTCCGTCTCTTTGCGCTGCATATCTGTCGCGTGTTTTGCGAGGACAGGGTGCAGAGCTACCCCGCGCTTCAGACCACCTGCGCGGTCGCGGCCCGGGTGGTGCCCCAGGCCCTCCACCTGCAGGGGGCCTGTAGTCTCTTCACCGAACTGATACATTCTGCTGATGACCTCGAAAGAGCCGAGGTTGGCGACGTCCAGCAGATCGTAGCGCACTCCGTGGTCTAACGCCAGGCCCGAGAGGTCGTGCATCAAGAACGCGGTGCTGTTGCGATCCACCTTGCGTTCGAGAGGCTTCGTCTGTCGACCATCGAAGGTTCCTCCGTGGTCTCGAACGTAGCGCATCAACTAGATTGTGGGCGTCTCGCCTTCCAAGGGGGGCCCCCCATGGGCTCTGCGGGCATCCTGCCAACCGAGCTCGCGACATCGCCCCAGCGACGACCGCTTGTGTCATGCCGAACGGGTGCCAGGATGCGGCATTCAGCAAGCCCTCCTCGGCGATGGGCTTCAGGGCGGCGCCCCCAGGGCCCGCGCGAGGAGAGGCGACCTTCGGGGTCTCCGTGCCACCTGGAACGCGACGAGCAAAAACAAACACTCCCGGCGACAATCTCACAAGGGCCCGATCTCCTCGAACGACATCTGAATCCTGGGGCATCACCTCCGAGCCCTCCCGGGCGTCGGCGACGCTCTCCACGGTAACCCAGACCTCGCCCTCGCCTTCATCTCCCAACGCCTCAACCTCATGGCCCGCGCCCGCTCCCGCGCCCTCAGACGGGGGAGAACCCTCCGGAAGGGGGGGGCGGCGGACCGCCGGCCCCGCCTGGGCCGCGCTCTGCGCCCGCGCCGCCGAACCCGCGCCCTGCTTGCCGCGAAGGCGGTGTGGTGCAAAACGCCGGCGGTCTCCAGCAGCCCGCGCGACCTCACTAGGAGGCCCCACCTGGTCATCGACACCGGCGTCGCGGAGTGCCTGCGCACAAGAGTGCATCACCACCTTGAAGTCGTCATTGTCCGGGTAGGCCCCGAGCCGACAGAACGACCCCGCTGGCGCCGCGGAATTGACGCCCAGGTCGTCCAGGAACACAGCCTGCGACGGCCCAGTAGATGGGCCCCTGTACAGCACGTCCTCTTCATAGATCCCCGTCCGGAGCCCTGATGTAATAGTGCTTGTTCGGACAGGGATAGACCAGAAGGCGTTTGTGCCAAACGTTGTCGCCCGTGCAGTGCGCCGCGAGCAAGTTGCCTGGTACCAGCCTAGGCCAGAACTCCTCGGCCCCGACGGCGGTCCCGCCCCACGGGCGTAGGCGAGCCAGGTGACCTCGGGACGGTCTCCCCGCGACCAGCGCCATCCTGGCGACGGCGGCGGGCCAGGCGGCCAGCGGCGGCCGTCAAGGCGCGCCAGGCCAGGTGACCGAGGAAACTCGCACAGACCTTCTCCAGGAGACTGTAGACGCCGGCCTCTGGGGGGGCCGCTGCCTCGCAAGGGGATCGGCCGCCCCAATCGTCAACAATGTGCTGTCGAGAAGACGGTCGAGTTGCCTCAATGCCAGGACCCCTCCGATGGCGGCCAACTGACGGACGGGGGGTACCGCCAGAGCGGATGGGGCCCATGCGCCAAAGGCTTGAGAGAAAGAGAACTACGGAGAGAGCAAACCCCTTCAACTCAGATGCATCCCGTGCCAGCATACCTATGGGCTCCCTTGCCCTGTAAGTTTGGCCCCGGCTCCACCCCGTGCTAGTCCCCCGTCTGACACCCCACCACCTGAGAAGCTCCCATCGGGAGCGCTGTTTTTTGGGCCCCCCACTCTGCCATTTTAGCCCCGGCCCCGCCCCATTCTAGCTCCCCGTCTGACACCCCACCGCCTGCGAAGCTCCCATCGGGAACACTGCTTTTGGGACGCACCACCCTGCAAGTTTGACCCCGGCTCCACCCCGTTCTAGCCCCTCCCCGTCTGACACCCCGCCGCCTGAGAAGCTCCCATCGGGAGAACTGTTTTTGGGGCCCACCACCCTGCATGTTTGGCCCCGGCTCCACCCCCGTTCTAGCCCCCTCGACTTTCACCCCACCGCCTGAGAAACTCCCATCGGGAATACTCTTTTTGGGACCCCCACCCTGCAATTTTGGTGACGGCTCGACTCCGTTCTAGCTCCCCCTTCTGACACCCCACCGCTTGAGAAATTTGGGCTCCCTTACCCTGCAATTTTGGCTCCGGCTCCACCCCGTGCTAGCCCCCCCGTCTGACACCCCACCACCTGAGAAGATCCCATCGGGAACGCTGCTTTTGACCCCCCCCACCCTGCCATTTTAGCCCGGGCTCCGCCGCATTCTCGCCCCTGTCTGACACCCCACCGCCTAAGAAGCTCCCATCGGGAGTACTGTTTTTGGGACACACCACCCTGCATGTTTGGCCTCGGCTTTATCCCGTTCTAGCCCCCTCCGTGTGACACCCCACCGCCTGAGAAGCTCCCATCGGGAGCACTGTTTTTGGGACCCACCACCCTGCAAGTTTGGCCCCGGCTCCGCCCCATTCCCCTGTCTGACACCCCGCCGCCTGAGAAGCTCCCATCGGGGGCAGTGTTTTTGGGACCCACCACCCTGCAAGTTTGGCCCCGGCTCCACCCCGTTCTAGCCCCCCCCCCGTCTGACACCCCACCGCTTGCGAAGCTCCCATCGGGAGTACTGTCTATGGGACCCACCACCCTGCAAGTTTGGCCCCAGCTCCACCTTGTTCTAGCCCCCTCGTCTGTTACACCACCGCCTGCGAAGCTCATATCCGAAGTACTCATTTTGCTACCCCCCACCCTGCAATTTTAGTTACGGCTCCACCCCGTGCTAGCCCCCCCGTCTGACACCCCACCGCTTGAGAAACTCCCATCGGGAGCACTGTTTCCGGGGCTCCCCACCCTGCAATTTTGGCCCCGGCTCCACCCCGTGCTAGCCCCCCCGTCTGACACCCCACCACTTGAGAAGCTCCCATCGGGAGCACTGTTTCCGGGACCCCCCCACCCTGCCATTTTAGCCCCGGCTCCGCCCCATTCTCGCCCCCCGTCTGACATCCCACCGCCTGAGAAGCTCCCATCGGGAATATTCTTCTTTGAGACCCCCCGACCCTGCAATTTCTGCCTCGGCTCCACCTCCGTTCTGGCACCCCCACTTTGATACCCCATCGCCTGAGAAGCTCCCATCGGGAGTACTGTTTTTGGGACCCCCCACCCTGCAATTTCTGCCCCGGCTCCACCGCCGTTCTTGCCCCCTCCCACTTTGACACTCCATCGCCTGGGAAGCTCCTGAGAAGCTCCCATCGGGAGTACTCTTTTTGGGACCCCACCCTGCAATTTTGGTTACGACTCGACCCCGTTCTAGCCCCCCCGTCTGACACCCCACCTCCGGAGAAGATCCCATCGGGAGCACTGTTTTTGGGCTCCCCCACCCTGCATTTTTGGCCCTGTCTCCACCCCGTGCTAGCCCCCCCGTCTGACACCCCACCACCTGAGAAGCTCCCATCGGGAGCACTGTTTCCAGGACCCTCCCACCCTGCCATTTTAGCCCCGGCTCCGCCCCATTCTCGCCCCCCGTCTGACACCCCACCGCCTGAGACCCCCCGGCCCTGCAATTTTGGCCCCGGCTCCACCCCCGTTCTAGCCCCCACCCTTTGATACCCCACCGCCTGAGAAGCTCCCATCGGGAGTGCTGATTTTGGGATCCCCGCCTTGCAATTTCTGCCCCAGCTCCACCGCCGTTCTTGCCCCCTCCCCCTTTGACACTCCATCGCCTGGGAAGCTCACATCGGGGACGCTGTTTCTGGGACCCCCCCACCCTGCAATTTTGGTTACGGCTCGACCCCGTTCTAGCCCCCCCGTCTGACACCCCACCGCCTGAGAAACTCCCATCGGGAGTATTGTTTTTTGGTACCCCCCCGCTGCAATTTTGGCACCGGCTCCAACCCCTCCTAGCCCCCCCGTCTGACACCCCACCGCCCGAGAAAGTCCTATCGGGAGTACTGTTTTTGAGGACCCCACACCCTGCAAGTTTGGCCCCAACTTCACCCCGCTTTAGCCCCCCCGTCTGACACCCCACCACTTGAGAAGCTCCCATCGGGAGTACTGTTTTTGGGACCCCCCTCACTGAAATTTTGACCCCGGCCCCAACCCCTCCTAGCCCCCCCGTGTGACACCCCACCGCCTGAGAAACTCCCATCAGGAGTACTGTTTTTGAGACCCCCCCCACCCTGCAATTTTGGCACCGGCTCCACCCCGTTCTAGCCCCCTCGTCTGACACCCCACCGCCTGAGAAAATCCCATCGGGAGTGCTGTTTTTGGGACCCCCCCCACCCTGCAATTTGGGCCCTGGCTCCACCCCGTGCTAGCCGCCTAAGAAGCTCCCATCGGGGGCACTGTTTTTGGGACACACCACAAGTTTGGCCCCAGCTCCACCCTGTTCTAGCCCCTCCCCGTCTGACACCCCACCGCCTGAGAAGCTCCCATCGGGAGAACTGTTTTTGGGGCCCCCCACCCTGCATGTTTGGCCCCGGCTCCACCCCCGTTCTAGCCCCCTCGACTTTCACCCCACCGCCTGAGAAACTCCCATCGGGAGTACTCTTTTTGGGACCCCCACCCTGCAATTTTGGTGACGGCTCGACTCCGTTCTAGCTCCCCCTTCTGACACCCCACCGCTTGAGAAACTCCCATCGGGAATATTGTTTTGGGGCTCCCTTACCCTGCAATTTTGGCTCCGGCTCCACCCCGTGCTAGCCCCCCCGTCTGACACCCCACCGCCTGAGAAGCTCCCATCGGGAGCACTGTTTTTAGGACCCCCACCCTGCAAGTTTGGCCGTTCTGGCCCCCTCGTCTGGCACCTCACCGCCCGAGAAACTCCCATCGGGAGGACTCTTTTTGGGATCCCCCACCCTGCAATTTTGGCCCTGGCTCCACCCCGTTCTTGCCCCCCCTTCTGACACCCCACCGCCTGAGCAGCTCCCATCGGGGGCACTGTTTTTGGGACCCACCACCCTGCAATTTGGGCCCTGGCTCCACCCCGTGCTAGCCCCCCGTCGGATGTTGGCCCGGGCTCCACCCCGTGTTAGCTCCCCCGTCTGACACCCCACCACCCGAGAAGCTCCCATCGGGAGCACTGTTTTCGGGACCCCCCCACCCTTCCATTTTAGCCCCGCTCCGCCCCATTCTCGCCCCCCGTCTTACACCCCACCGCCTGAGAAGCTCCCATCGGGAATATTCTTCTTTGAGGCCCCCCGACCCTGCAGTTTCTGCCCCAGCTCCACTCC